AAGTAGCCCAAATGTTTAAGCTGTGTCAACAGCTATCCTTGTTTGACAGTGAATTGTCTGGAAGTGTGTATCTCCCCACCCCCTATGGTTTAAATGACAAGTCTCAGATTACACAATTACTGAGTGATGCACCTGATACCAGAATTGGGTTTTTTATGGAGGCAATATTGTATAAAAGAAAGAGCATTGGACTTTGAGCCACTATTCTTCCTTTTTATTAGCTGTGTGGCCTTGAGCAGGTCACAAATCTCCTGATACCTTAGGTTTTCTCCCTGCTAAAAGAAGGACGCTGTCAGCCACCTCTGCCAGCTTGTAGTGGGGATTAGAGTCATACCGAGTGCCCAGCACAGTGTCTCGCCTATACTAGAGGCTCAATTTAAGGGAGACACCTTTTTTTTTTTTTAACAGTGGGAATAAAATTCTTTCCATTTTAGTTCCTACTGTTTCTTACCAGACAGAATGTCAGTCTAACAGTATTTCGATCCAGGAAAGATGGGATCCTACTGATGTCCAGAGGGAGGGTGCGTAAGTCATACATTTCGCACTGCCTTGCTCTCCACTTCTTGTGAGGTTTTTTCAACTTAGTAGTGATCTTTAGTCATCCAGGGAGTGGGTTAAGACTTCAGAGGTAGTCACTGTGCGTATAATCTGGCAGCACTGCTTCCGGGACTGTTACCCTGCCACGGCTGCTCTTGGAGAAGCACCGATTGCACCACTCGGGAAGCAAACTGGGTGACCTTCTAGCACTCTCTGCACCATTATCTTCTGTCCTGCTTGATTTGTTGTGAAATCAGAAGTGCCAATGTACATTGGAAGTATTTAAGGCAAAAAATAATTTCGTAAGTTTCCGGTTAAGGTTTTTGTATGTTTCACAGAATAGTCTCAGAGAAAGATAGCAGTCTCAGAAATTTGTAGCTGAAATATGGGACCCAGCGCTTACTACTGTCTACTGTAAGGTTGTGTGTAAAACATATTTCTTTCATAGGTTGGTGCAGCATGATAGAACTCAATTTCAAGGATGCATTTGATTCCTTTGAGAGGCTAAAAAATGAGTCCAGGTGGTCTCAGTGCTACTATGCCTACCTGACTGCAGGTGAGTAGATGATGGTCCCCTGGGTGTGCCCCTGTCTGTTGTGAATCAGCTCACCTAGCACTGGAAGGCGGGAGGATGATGGCAGGAGGCACATTGCCTTCCATGGTTTGGTTTCCTCAGTATGTTGACATTTTGCAGCCAGCCAAATAGGAGTGGAATACTGTGTTCACTGAGCCAGCTGGACACTGAGAAATTCAGCAGTGTCCAGGGTGCCCCCCAGGCTTCCTCTCGGCACCTGGTTCGGTCCTGTGCTCTGTGCTGGATATGTTCATTGCACAGTTTTCCTAATCTTTGTACATTTCGCCTTAACCAGCCTTGACCTGCCTTTTCTCCCTTCCTTAACAGGCTGTATTTTTTATTTATTAGTAATCCAAAGAATTTTTAAGAATTGAACATGTCTTTTTCATTGTGTTGATACTTTTGTTTGGTTATAAAGTTGCATAGAATTTGAGTCATCTGCTCCAATATTGCTTTACCTCTTACACCTGTTATATTTACAGTGTGATACTGCAAAATGAGAGGCATTTCAACACTGTATCTCATCATGGCAGGGACACCCATAATTTCTGTTTGGAGTATGTTTCTTGCTTTTTTTTGGTCCTTGCGTGGGATAGTTAAACACGTGCTGCCACCTGGTGGATGAAAAAGTTATCTGCACCCTGCATTACATGAAGTGCCACGTGATGTGGAATTGACCAGGGATGAATAGAAGAAAATCAGGCAGTCACAGTCACACACTTTCTGCCTTTAAGATGAATTCTCTCTGTGCAGCTACATAAGTTATTCTTTTACCTAAAATTCAAGACTAATCCAAACATTTTTTTAAATACCTCCATCATCTTCTTTGATTTCAACCTCTTTAACTGATCTTATTTAAAATAAGGCAGAATTAACAGTGACCAGTAAATATATCCTGGATATATCAAGATCCCTATAAAATTACATCAGTCTATTACCCGTCAGTACAAATCCCCTCGTGTCTACACTCCTTACTGCAATCCCCATAGGGCAGCCATGTGGCTCTGTGCCTGATACTTGAATAAGGTTGTTTTTGATAATCTAGATGGTTTGCTATGCCACACACGTAAAGCATCATTTTATAGAATTTGAAAGCATCTTAGATGAAAGTAGCAGCTAGTCACTGAGAGCCACGGTGTGTTTAACATGCTGCAGAGTGGGCGAACCCTGAATGCAGGCACCGGGGTGCAACTGGGTCATGCCATCAATGGCTGGCAGCTGTTTCTTTTTAAGTTTCTATTGAACAGAAAAGAAATAAGTGTACATTGTGACTACATAAAGGGACATTTATTCTCAAAATATTTGGAAATCCCAGGACTTTACCAGCTATTGAAGAGAATAAGCACAAAAGATTCTAATTTCTTGTCTCTGCCAAAGGATTTGGGGGAAAGGAGAAGTTGCCAGGGAATAGTTCTGTAGAGAGGACTTGAGGCAGGGAGGGAGCTGTCTGTCCTGCCATCAGAGGTGGCATCTAACCATTTTTAAGGACACATGGCAGTGGCATTATGTACACTCACATTGCTGTGTAGCCATCACCACTGTCCAGACTTTGTCCTCATCCCAAACTCAAACTCCGTGCCTGCTAAACACTAACTCTCTGTTCTCTCCAGCCCCTCGTTACCACTGTCGTACTTTCCATCTCCATCATTTTGACCATTCTATCTGGCTCCTATAATTGGAACCGATTGGTCTCTTTGTGTTTGCCTTATTTAGCTTAATGTTTTCAAGGTCCGTCCATGTCGTAGCATGTCTCAGAAGCTCCTTCTTGTATAAGGCTGAATAATATTCCATTGTGTGTATAAACCACCTTTTTACCCATTTATTCACTGATGAACATTTGGGTGGTGTCCACTTTTTGTCTGCTATAGTGAATATTGGTGTGCAAAGATCTATTCAAATCCTTGCTTTCAATACTTATGGGTATATACGAAGAAGTGGAATTACTAGGTCACGTACATGTTTATGTGTATTTTCAAAATTATATCAAAATGACAAGTTACCAAAAAAGATTACAGTAGCATTTGGGAGATGATGTAAACTTAGTCTTAATGGAAGAGCAGGGCAGCCAAGTGCTGTTTAGGTCTTATGTTTTAGGGTAAACCAGAGACTCTTAGGCTTTTAAACACCTGCATCTTACGTGTAATTTTACTGCAGGAGGGGAAGGTCATGGTCATTCTTCACAGTCTGAGGGAGGTTTTGGTGTTGTAGACCTTAGGGGTGGTTCAGAGGCTGATGCCATTTCTGACTGGCTTTCTTTCTCTTTAATTGCAAAACTCTGTAAGAATGTCTCAGTGATCTCGGGAAGACTTTAAGCCTCATACAACAGAAATTGTTCTTTTTTACTGGTTTACTGTGTGGCCTTAGGGAATGGTTTCTAGCCCTCTGCATCCTCTGATCTATAAAACGATATGATTGGTTACACAAGACAATCACCGGGCTTTTTTTCTGGTTTTGAAAGAAGCTATAATTGATATCATTTTTGAAGGGGGCAGACCCCACATCTGACCCAGAGATGCTCCAGTAACTAGGTAGGTGTTGTCCCTTACCCTGACTATTCAGCCTCATGCTCTCACTCCCAGTAGGAATATTCTGCCCTTCCCACCCCCTCAGCTTCCTCAGCTTCCTACAAGTCTCGCTGCCTTTGCTGTTTGGCCCCGACAGTAGTTGCCTATTTGGTGACATGTGTGACCCTGAGCTCTGCTTGACGGAGCCTACAAATGCAGGTGCAGGACCAACTGCTCGTAGGAGTATTTGAATAAAGAGCAAGGACCTAGCACATGAATTGTAGTACATTCCAACTAGGGAGTGAAAAACTACGCGATGAAGACATCTAACAAAATGGATTCATTGCTATAGAGACGAGAGGAGGAGGACAGGATTTAATTCAAGAGATGGGGCTGAAGCCAGGTATGAAGTTTGGAGAAAGGAGAGGGCAGGTGCGGCAAAGAGAGTGTGATAGTAGGTTTGCATGGGGAAGATGCTGTGCGGACGCCAAAATCTCATGCCAAGACTCAGCTAGACGTCTAGCTCCTCAGAGCTTGCGATCACTCTAAAGAGAAGTAACACCTTCTCTTTCTGAGTCTTTGCAAAAGCACTTGGGTTCTCCTGTCCTGACCACTCCCGCCACTGTATACATCGTAGGGGTGTGTGTGAGAGAGAGCGCCCTCTCTCCACCTGAAGTTTCAGCTTCTTTGGGTGCAGGCATGAGTGTTTCTTCTTTGTTTTCTTGCTGGTGGCTTGTAGCCGGCAGGTGGCCAGTGAACACTTGTGGAGGACTAATCCTGACTTTGCAGGACGGGGGTGGAGTGTTATGAGTCCTCGGGCTCCCCATTCTTTCCTAAATTCCATTTTATTCTACTTTTTGGTGTGTGGACTCCAACTAGCTCAGACACCATGTCAACAGCTGGGGAATTCTGGTAACACAGGAACCTGAGAAGTGTTTGCACTATGGCATGACGACCCGCGGGGTGATGTGGCCCTTTGTGCAATAGTCTTTACACCTGTTTGCTCCCAGTTTTCCAAGAATTGTCACTCTGTGTATCCCTTGGTGGCATCCCCGCCCCCCGTACTTAAGAAATACAATTATGGTTTCTTACAGTGTGTCAGGGAGCTACCGGTGACGTGGATGGGGCACAGATTGTCTTTAAAGAAGTTCAGAAACTCTTCAAAAGGAAAAACAATCAGATTGAACAGTTCTCAGTGAAAAAGGTATGTTGGAACCTATTCATCTGATGTATTATTTATAACTGGCATTTTTAACCAACGCCACCTTGGCCAAGTTTTAAGAAATTATGTTCAAGGCCGGCAATTTACTTGCCATATAAAATGCAGTTCACCAAAATGGAGAGCAATTATTCCACGATTGTACCTCTAGTCTGAACAGGAAGTATTTGATGTAAATAATAAAAGCAGGTTGTTTTAATGAATGAAGGCACTAAAGACTCTGCAGAGCCCAGGAATATCTCTAGAGCAGTGATTTTTCAGCTGGTGAGCTGTGGCACCCTGGGGTGCTGTGAGAGGATCTTAGGTGTGCCATGAAAAATTTTAAAGATCATTGATTAAATTATTTTCAAGGCTCGGCGCCTATAGCTCAACCGGCTAAGGCGCCAGCCACGTACACCTAAGGTG